TTTACCCAGCATTACCCAGCAGTCAAAGAGCTAAAAATAAGACAAGCTTAGGGTACCGTTTTATAAAACAATACCTCAAACCTGTCTTAGAGGTGTACATTTTTGACAAGAACTTAAATGGTTGCAAAGACATGCCTTCTCCCAGCACAGCTGTATGCAGTTTTTTTTCATGTTCTGTCTCCTTCTAATATAACGCCATAACCTATAAAACCAATGTGATCAGGCAGTGGGGGCAGGGTCAAAGCTCATTGTAGTAGGGGGATTATCTATTTTGCTACTTTAACTTTTCTCTATATTATCCACTCCTTAGGTTTACTGGACATCTAGACACCAAAAGTACATTAGATCCACCTCCCTGGTGTCCTGCATCAGTAGAACAGATGAATCCCAGAATTGTAAAACACCTTCGTATCTTCGAGGGGAAATATTGTGAGCATTTAAAGACAATGAGACAATAATGGAGTACAGCGTATCTTGGAGTAGCCCAGGCTTATTCATAAGGAAAAACAGGACATTGTGGGCTCTGACATTGTTCACCCTAATGCAGCTACTTCTCCAGACTAGAAAGCCCAGGGTGCTTTCCCAGTTCTCATTGACTCTATCTTAACAGCCCTTCCAGTGCTTGCATCATCTCCGTAACGTCGCTGCTAGTTGAAATTCTGCTTGAACTCCAGTAACCAGTTCCTTCAGAGGCAGCCTATTCCTTTGTAGAACATCTCTCTGACCCTTCTAGAACATCTCCCTTAGGTTGAGCTAAAATATGTCACCTTACACCTTTATCCATTTGTTCTAGTTCTATTTAAGTACAACAATGGGAAGTGTAAGAAAGAAGCATGATCTGTCGTCTTAGTTGCACTTCCTGGTTAGTATAAATTCAGTCCACGTAAATGAGCTAAATCATTTATCTGTGGTTTTTAGCACATCACTTGCAACATAGGAGCTATTCAGTAAATGATAACTATTATTAATTTTAAGCAAGGAAGGCAGAATTAATCATTATATGATAAACTGATTGCTAGCTGAGTATTTAAAATTTTGATAATTTCTGATATTTTCTGAGCATCTACTTTATGCCAGACATTGCGTTAGGTCTAGAAATATATGGTCTTGGACCTCAAGGGGCTGGTTCACAGTCTAAATGGGGAGGCAGAAAATGTATATGAATAGAATAAGTATTCCAACCTACAGTATATGTCAAATGTAAGTGTCAAATGGAAAGATACAGAATATAAAGAATATAGGAGTTGAGGGCTTGGGCCTGAAGAGGAAAAAGCCCACCCCCAAAATTGTTTGTTTTCTTTTTCTTTCTCCTCCACAGCATTTATTCAGGCTGTATTTGTGGCAGTAGTGGCTTTTCCCCCGTGTGTTTTTCTTTGCAGATACTTTCGATCTGGGTTGCAAGGGGAAAGGGGATTATATCTGTAGTTTCTTGTGATTGCAGTCTCGGGGCCGATGCTCTCCGATGTTGTTTATAGCAGTGTTTGAGTAGGCAGTCTTTGTTGTTTGTTATCTCCCAACATCACACTTTGCACTATGGATTTTTACTTGCATCAGCAGCTTAATATATGGCAACTTCAGTGCTGAAGCATAAATCTAGCTTCACATTGTTTGGGACAAGCTGATCAGAGCTCAGATTGTCCTCGGCATAGCCTGTGCACCCTATTTGTCTTTCTAATTTGCTTACAATCTTGAGGCTTAGAAGAAAGTGAGCTTCAGTGTCCTCAGTTGTAATTACAAGTTTCTAAGCAAAAATATTCACAGAGTGTCCTTATATCATGTATAAAGCAAAAAAAAACAG